GGGGAGCGTTGGTGCGGTAGCAAGCCACTGGTGCTTAATACCTGCTACTCTGAGATAGGTCTCAGGTCTGGGAAACTGGATTAACTCTAAGAGCAATCAGATGGTGGGAACAAGATGCTTCATATGTTGAAATAATTCCTGTCTCAGCTTACTAGGGAGATGAGGGAAGAAATCACCAGATCCAGCTGGGAAAAGCAGAGACAACAAGTCTGAAGCTAACCAAGATAAAGAAAAAAATGTTGGCACCTGTTTCAAAACAGAAGGCCATAAACTATTTGTGAAATGCAAGAGGAAGTATGAAAACCAGAAGGTTCAGCTTCTAAGACTCAGAATCTGGCCCACAGCTGCTTAATGAAGGGCATAAAGCAGGCTCCAGCTTACACATTCATCAAAGCAGTGCCCTTTGCTGGTTCTCTTTGGCTTCAATTTGACCCCCTGTTCTCTAGGGGAATGGATGGGAATATTTTGAAAATTAAGAAAATACTATTAGGTCTCATGACTAAGCATTTTCTGTGTGCCATACTCTGCTAAGGCTGTCACAGACACTATTAACTCATCATTCACCCCGACACCTCTATGAAACAGATTCTTCCATCCCTGTCCCATAAAGGCGAAAACAGAGTCTCAGAGAGATTAATTTACAAAGGTTACATGGCTTGTAAATGGCAGAGTAGGGATGTGAGTCCAAAAGGCTGGCTCTCAAGCATAACACTTTGATCATGTAATTAAACCATTTTAAAGCAAAGTTGGTATGTTGGGAAGTTCTGAAGACCAATACAGGACCTTGGTTAACTCTCTCTCTCTCTATATATATATTTTTTAACTCTATATATTTTTAAAGGGGAGAACGTTTCTAAACATTCCTTCTAAGGTGGCCCAGTAGATTCTATCACCTTCCAGCTGCTGCTTCACCCCACCTGCTACTCAGTAGAGATGCTGAATAAATACCTCTTCTCCCATATGTATAACTTGGAGATATAAAAAAAAGTTCAGTGTAAGTGCCCAGTGACTGAGAAGACGAACTTTCTGAAAGTAATCACAAAGATGTTGTAAAACTACTATTAACATCACTGAAATATTAACTGATGGAATTAGGGAGTAAAACAGTTTTGCTTTCTGTGTTCTGTCAAATTTAGAGACTCTTTTAATTTTTGATTACAGCTGGATTAAAGCATTTTAATGAAAAAATATAAGTGTGTAAATCCAGTCTGGTTCTATCTGTTTCACTAGTTTTTTTTTTTTTTTTTAAATTAGAATTAGTCAAAAATAATATTTGGTTTTAGCTAATTAGCAAGTTTCTCTGTAATTTGAGGGTAACAATTTAGCTTGAGTAGAAAACAATCTTTCTCAGTTCCCTTGCTTATAGAATATATATTTGAAACCATATTAAATTAGAGACTAACTCTACCTTAAGTGAAAGTTGGACTACCAAGGCCAAGTTCAAAAATTTACTTCCCACGCTCCAAAACCCAGAATGAGGGCTCCTTAATAAGACGGATGACCACAGTGTCTCCCTTGGGCCTCTTAAGGAAACAAATTCACTAAAAGTTAAGGTCGACTGCATGTATCTGGGTTATCGTTAATATAGTGTCACCCTTCTTATTCTAAAACATTTGTTTTCTAATTCACTTTGAATCAATTTGTTTACCTATTTTCCCAGAAAGTAAAAATTTCCTCTTTTTCCCAAACACCAAGTTTATGGAAACAAAATTGGCCATGATAAAATAATGTGAGAGATTAAATTGAGTATATATTCTGAGGCCAAAAGCCATCACAGAAATGTATACCAAATACTAACATCTTTAAACAGGAGGACATTTAAAAATTAGATTCATAAAATTAGTTTTTTATAAGTTTTTATAATTCTACTCAGTAGATTTTGAGAGTTTTTTCCACCTACTCAGCCACCTGTCTATGGACCCAAGATACCCTTTAAAGAGAAAGATGGAGTGGGAGTGAGTTAGAATTATTTAATTTTAATTTCTTAGTAGGTAGAGAAGATAGAAGCTTCTTAACCCATGACAATTGACCTCTGGTATCAGAAAAATTAGATTCACTCTGTGAGAGAAAAAAAGAGTAATATGCCAGAAAAATGACTATTCGGTTAAATAATTTTTTTTTTTTTTTTTTTTTTTGCGGTACGCGAGCCTCTCACTGTCGTGGCCTCTCCCGTTGCGGGGCACAGGCTCCAGACATGCAGGCTCAGCAGCCATGGCTCACGGGCCCAGCTACTCCGCAGCATGTGGGATCTTCCCGGGCCGGGGCACGAACCCGCGTCCCCTGCATAGGCAGGCGGACTCCCAACCACTGCGCCACCAGGGAAGCCCCGGTTAAATAATTTTTAAGGATAAGAGGAAAAGGCAGGGAAATTAGAAGGAATTAAAGCAAGTCTTGACCACAGGCATCTGTTGAGAAAGGAAAATTCCAGATGTGAGGAAGAAGAAAAAGAGAATGCTTACCTGTTTGATTTTGGCAGGGAACAGGAGAGAAAGAAATATCATCCAGGGCAACATACCCTCCTTTGGGACCACTGAAGGCAACTTCAAAAATAACCTGCAGAGGAGAATGACATATTGCTACATGTTTATATTTTCTTTTAGGCTTAAGTGCTTGTAACTATGATTTTAAATGGTATGTCAATTCAGCCAGGTGTATAGGCATTTGGGAAGCTCCCTCCTTAACCCACAGTTTTCTTTTGGGGAGAGTGAATACTAAGCCCTAAGTTGCAATTTACTGGTGGACTCCCCACCACCCCCGTCCCATCGTGCCCCTTGAGTGTCAAAGTACCTATATCATTTTCTGATAGAACTACAGAATTGACAATGTGCATTATGAACTTCAATTAAAGAAACAGCAGCCTGCTTGCAGAAGGCAGGCTAATTTTTCCGCTGCCCTTCAAAGAGACCTAGGCCCCTCCAAGGTCCTTTCCCTTTTTCATACATAAAATTCCATGTCCAGGGCTTCCCTGGTGGCGCAGTGGTTGAGTCCGCCTGCTGATGCAGGGGACACGGGTTCGTGCCCCGGTCCGGGCAGATCCCACATGCCGCGGAGCGGCTGGGCCCGTGAGCCATGGCCGCTGAGCCTGCGCCTCGGAGCCTGTGCTCCGCAACGGGAGAGGCCACAACAGCGAGAGGCCCGCGTACCAAAAAAAGAAAAAAAAAAGTCAAGTACTTAAAATTCCACGTCCATCTGGACAAAGATGCAGAGATGATTTCCTGATGCCTAAGTCAGAATCAGGCCCAGAAATCCTATGTACGGATATTAGGATTTCAGCATATCCTGGCATGCTCAAATGGTTAAAGAGAACACGGGGTTGTTAAGGAGTTCAGCCCCCTTTAGTTATACTCTCTTCTCTGCCACCAACTGTAACTTTGAGGTCAGTGGACAACTTTCTGCTTGTGACCATGGGGATCAGGTGTGGTAAGCCCAGCACTCACCTGTGTTGGGGAAAACTACCCAAGTGTACAGTCCACTCTGCTGAATTGATAACATGAGAAGATACGGTGTTGAGCAGGGTTGGAAACTCAAGTGCCTACCTGGGCCAGGCAGCTAACTTAAATGTGTGACATGGGTTTGGTCTGATGCAGCAGGAAAGGGTATGAAATGGGGAGCAAGTCTCATCTAAAGGGGGCGGCTGGTACCCAGCTTTGTCAATTGCTGACATGTGGGAATTTAGGACTAACATGCCTGGATTTACCAAACCATCAAGAGGACCTAGATCTCTAGATTTTTATTTGAAATCTTTGGATTTTTCAATGTTAGCAATTAATTCAAAAACTAAAACAAACATGCAAAACAAAAACAAAGAAACAAACATATACCACTACAGCAGCTAGGCAAATCATCATAGGCTAGATTTGACCCATAGGCATCTAGTCTTCAACCTCTTCTAAAGAGAATGGTGTCTTGGCAGCAGATAGACCAGAGTTCAAATCCCATTTCTGTCACTTACCAACTAGGTGACCTTGGGGACATAGCTAACCCTCTTGGGACCTCGCTTTTCTTAGTTATAAAATAGGCATTATAACACCTACCTTGTAGGACTGTAGATGCCATTAAATGAGATGCTGTATATACAGATCCTAGCATGGAGTCAGGTGCATAACAAGCTCTGAACTAAATCCATGCCTTTTCCTCCTGGGTGACACCCCCTCCTGAACTCACATTCACATTTGAGGCTAGTTAGCCACTGACTAACTCCAGTTTGTCCCTTCTCCACTCTAGGTCTCAATTTCTTAATTTTTAAAAAAAGAGTTTGGACAAGACGGTCCCTTTCGGCTTAACAACAATGGTCCTTAGACACCTGGCCTCTGCAAAATCTAAGAGGAGCCCTGGAAGCTTGTCTCTGGCAATACAGGAAGGGCGGAGAACCAAGGAAACAGATGTGGACGAATGAGGAGGGGCTAATTAAGTTTACAGACTCCACACAGGTCTGTGACATTTCGTTTTCAAGGTGCCAGCTGATAAAGCCAACGACAAAATGTGATCTTACTGAACAGCAAGGGGGAGTAAGAATATTTCCGATCATAATTTGCAAATCACATCCTCTGTGCCATTATGTTCTCTCTTGTTCAGAATGAGGGTCTCAAATGTTTGTTTTCCTTTTAAAAATTCACTTGAGAATATGGGGACCTTAAATTCGCTGATTTCCACAGGATAAGTTTCTTTCCCCCCGCAATTACCAAGAGCAAATAATCCCGGCGTAATGAGTCCCGACTGCTAGGGCAAAATCACACACGTGTGACCCAAAAGGATAGGTATTGAAGTTTAGTAGTGAACTTAAGCAGTAAACAGACACTGTAACTTTTCAAGCATTGATTAAAAAGAAAATTCAGCAAAGTCTCACTCGTCTAAACGTTGCCCCAGGAGTTTAAGGTTGGATGAAAGGAATTTGCGAAGACGATGCCTTCACTGTGCGTGTGACTCATTTGACTTTAATAGAAGGAAAATTTTCTGAAGCAGTATGTGTATTTCTTTTCCTCCTTGTAACACAAACTCACAGACAATTTTCCACTGGGTTGCAAGCGCCAATCAAGCCCTGGTTAGACTTTGGGATAGGAAATAGCACACATACTGCAACAGGCCCCTCTCTCCGGGGCTGTCTGGGGGAAGGAGGAAGATGGGAAGGGGGAAGGGGAGTGGCAGGCACTGGACAAGACACATCAGAAACTGAGACTCAAGCCCAACACTCACTGAAGCTCCACATCAGGTGAGCAGATGGCACCACTGAAAAGCATCCAGAGGATAATCTGCTTCTTTTGCACTCTAAACGGATCTAGGGAAGATATTGCAAAAAGCGCAAAGCGAAAGCAGGAGACATTAAAACCTGTGGGAACTAAGACTCTCCTTAGAGCTCCAGATCTGCAACTACAATGTTGCACCCACTGACTCTAGAGGTCCTAGGGGTCCCCGGACAGAGCTGACCTTCTTGCTTCAAATTTAGGTCAGATTTAATGCAGGGACTTTTCTCAGTGCCCTGGCACGCACCAGCAGTGTGACCCAGAACAAAACGTCAGACTTCTTGCACTCTCCATCTCCTCCTCTTTCATCTGTAATATGGGATAATTTTATCTACTTTGTTGGATGGTCATCAGTACTGGACCATTCAACAGACACATACATAGATATGTATTAATATATGTGCTTTGAAAACAGGTCTGCAGGTCTGCACGGATAAACACCAAAATGTTAGTAGCTCTTATCTTTGCAGGGCTGGCACAGGGTGCTTTCTTTTGATTTGCCTCTCTGAATTTTCTAATTCTTCTGCACTGGACATTTACCACTCATGTAGCTATAAAGAGTTTTAAACCATAAAAAGTTAAAAACTTTATAGGCCCCCAAGGCTTGTTTCAAATTAGGGCCACAATCGTAAGTTTATTTCTGACTTTTATGACATTATTTATACTGTAAAGGAGAAAAGAAGAAAATAAGTCTTTTTTTTTTTTTTTTTTTTTTTTTTTTTTTTTTTTTTTTTTTTTTTTTTTTTTTTTTTTTTTTTTTTTTTTTTTTTTTTTTTTTTTTTTTTTAATTTAGAGAGAGTATTCCCTCAAGTAAGGGCAACCTTCAGTTGCTGTCAGGAATGGAAGGTCAAGAGGGAGTTTCACGTAGAAGGCGTTTCACTGATCTCCTCTTCTGAATTCACGTAACCACAGTGCAAGGTTCAGAGGGAGAGTGTGCCCAAGAAACCTAGTTGGTTGACTGGCTTTCCCATAGTTGTCCTTATTAAAGAATACCCTTTCTAGAAAATGAAGTGATAAAGGAGGAAGGGAGAGGGAATAAAGAGGGAGAAAATTGGAGAAGACCAAGGAAGGGAAAAGGAAGATTAAGACTGAGACATAGCGGAAAAGAATGAGTGTGAGACTGTAGTATCTCTCGAATTCCACGCCTGGGTGTGGGTGGCATCCCTGTAGAGCGGCCAGGCCAGGGCACACCTGGCACACCTACCTCCATGGGGTACGGGGCGCTGAACTCCACCTCAGCGAGGTTCCAGCCAGCATTCCCTGGATTGCCCATTTTCCAGATCTCCTCATACAGGCCAGCCGCATCCCTCGTATACACGGAGAAGATGTTGTCATTCCCCTGCTGGAGTTGGTAATAAAACAACAAGCAGCCAGACATGGGGGCCGTGGTCACTGGGGAGATGAGCTGTGCCACCTCCTGGTAATGCTTGACGTAAACCGAGTCCACATACATGTAGTGGCCTGAAATCACACAGAGAAAACAGCCTAAGATAGGCGGGCGGATTCTCAGACACAACTACATGATCTGGGATTTACTTCAAAATAATCCAGTGGGAGTGGAGGAGGGGAAGCGAATGAGTTATTGAGGAAAGAAGTTTGGCCACGGGTTGATGAATGTTGCAGCTTGGAGATAAATAGTGGAGTTCACTGTGCTCTGCTTAATACGAGATAAGCACCATTCTTTTTCTTCCCCTTAATTCTGATTCAAGTAAAACATACATATAGAAACGTCAATGTGTGATCTGTAAAGTGTTTGAATTTTTACAAGCTGAACACAGCTGTGAAAAAAAAAGCAGGACATTACCCCAGAAGTCCCCCTCCAACAAGCCTTCTTTGAGTTGTATGGTTTCTAAGAGCATACCAAACATACCATCTGTTCTTAAAATCGCAGTGACCCTCCTGTACATCTTTCCCATGTACACAAAATGTCGCTGTGTGTTCTTTGAGTGAAACTGATATGAATTCAAACTAGATGACAATTTGTACCTCTTTAATAGAATACGTAGGTCAGTCAACACGGTTGACAGGGTTAGGATTTGGGAAGTTGAACTTGGGACCCCACTCGTGGCAAGGCTTTGGTGGGTTCCGGACCCAAAGGCTGACTGCATTAGAGGCATTTTGGTGAAAGAGAGAAACTGTGAGGCAGAATGGGGAGAGCTTGGATTGGACATTAAAAGAACTGACTTTGAATCCTGCTCTATATCCTACCATCCCTGGGACTTTGAGGAAGTCACTCAATATCTCTGGGCTTCAATTTGTGATCTCTAGAATAAGAATCAAATATTTCTCTCATATGGTTGATCTGAGTATTAAATGAGATTATGTATGTGAAGTGGTTAGCATGTGCCTGGCACATTGTAATTGCCTAACATGATTATAATGAAGTAAAGCAATGCCATTAATGTTTTTAGCACCATACTTTCCCCAGTATGGTACTATTATTACCAGCAATTTTGTCTAAATTTATTTGAGCTGCAGTGACAGAGGAGTAATAGCAATGTAGCTTTGATAGAACGGCCTTTCTATTTACAAGCTCAGAACAATTACAGCTTAATGTCTTTGCTTTTATTACATGGTGACAGGTTTATAATCATTCCTTTTATCCTCAGCAAAACAGCAGTAAGGATATTAGGAAGAATATATGCATTCACACACTGGAGACTTACTTTGTATCTAGCACACTGCCTAGTATGTGGTAGGCCCTCAACAAATGGTGATTCAAAACACATACATGGTCTCAGAAAGATCCTCACTGCAACATGGCAGAGGGGAAAGGTGGATAAATTAAAACTCATTTTCTCCTGGTAGCAAATTGTTCAACCCCTCTGAAAAATCTCCCTTGCTTAAATAGAATTGTCTGATCATCTCGCCAAGCTGTGCAACTGTGAATAAACAGAAATCACAAACTCAGATGATCAGAGCAGCCAGCCAGATCAAGTATATGATTGAAGTGGAGTGGGTCAGGGAGAAAACAGAGTGATGAATTAGCTGCCAACATTGGAAATCACATTTTACCAGCAACGAGAAGCAGAAATTAGGCTTCTCTGAAAAACTCAGAAAATCTGATAGTGCTGGGTCCATATTCTCAGGCTGCAACAACCAGCTGGTGGTAAGGGGCGCCAGCCCCGCGCATGGACCTGTGTTCTTCCCTGAGAGCCCATCCCTCTACTTCCAGCTGATGCCCTGACATCCAGCCAGGTGCTACAAGCTTTTCCCATTGAAACTCAAAATCCAGATTTTCCTGGCAGATCCATTCATTTAAAAATGATACCTCTATTAGTTTGCTAGGGTTACCATAACAAAGCACCACAAACTGAGTGGCTGAAACTAAAGAGACCTGTTGTTCCACACTTCAGGAGGCTAGAAGTCCAAGGTCAATGTATGAGAAAAATTAGTTCCCTCTGATGACTGTGAGGGAGACCCTACTCTATGCCTCTCTCTCTCCTAGCTTCTTTGGCATTGGCACTCGTTGACACTGACGGATTGATCTCTGCCTTCATGTTCACATGGTATTCTCCTTTCTGTGCATGTATCTTTCTGTGTCCAAATTTCCCCTTTTTATAAAGACACCAGTCATATTGGACTTGGGGCCCACCCTACTTTAGTATGACCTCATCTTAACTGATTACATCTGTAATGAACACATTTCCAAATAGGTCACATTCTGAATTTCTGTGGGTTAGGACTTCAACATATGAATTTTGAGGAAATATAATTCAACCTATAACACCTCCCACCATAATTTTTTAAATTTCGTGTGTGCCAAATAAACATATCTGCAAGACTGGAAGATGGGCTCCCAATTGGCCACCCTTGGGGAGGGATTTTAAAGGAAGAATCAGAATGTCAGACTGAGCAGAATCCAAGAACCTCTGATAAGGAAGCAGGGCCATGAGCCCCCCTCCTAAGCTCGGGTGTCCTCTAAAGCACTGCTGGTGGCCAGGTAGCTCCGACTAATGCAGAATGGGTGTGACCAGCTAGCCCTGTAACACGCCTTTGCTCACTGAGCATGCATGTGAGTGTCAAAGGCAGAGAGGAGGTTTTTATGCCCTTTGTAATTTGTCTAACCGGTGAAACAATCTCTTTCCAAGATATCCAGCCAGGGAGAAAGGGCAGAGGAGCTGTCATACTTTGTTTCCTTGACACCTCATTGCAGGACCGTGCTGGCGGGCTCCTGACATACTCTCCATTCAGTGTCCAGCTGCTTCACCTTTGGATCCACAAAAGCAGTGTGTGCCAAGGCCATGCCACATTGGGTGTCCTCAGCTGATGACCAAGCAGAGCAGGGGTAGCAGGGCAAGGCCATTCTGCCTGACAGGGGCTCTTCAGCAACTCCCCATCGGCCTGGCCCCCCTCTTTCACAGGTGTTAGCCTTCCATCCTGTGCTGAAGGCTCTCCCCACCCAGGCCGCGTTAGGACTTTTGTTGGGGCCCTATAGGCACTTTTGCTGCTCTGGACCCCTTTCTCCACAAAATATATAAAAATTATATTTTATAACTGCATTCATATAAAGATGAATATGATCTAGGCCGGACCTATTATAATATTTGTTATTATGACATTCATTTTTTCCCTCTGATTTTAAAATAAATCAAATTAAAACATGCTCATGGATTCCTAAAAATGTCAGGTCTCCTAGGCACTGGGACTTCTATGCCTAATGGACACATGGTCCTGGGCCCCAGCTGCTCCAGCTCTCTCCCCACTTATGCTTCTCAGCCATTTCCTCCAATAAGTCTCTTTCCACCTAATCCCAGCTTAGTGTCTGCTTCTCAGAGGACCTAAACTGCCACAGCCATGAAGCAGGAAATCAGTCTACCTGGGGTGACGGGCACCTCCAAAGGCTCCACGAGACTCTCAGTAAATCTAGGAGACCTCACAAATCCACTAGAAATTATTCATTCTACTTCCGGAATGCACGATAACTGTGTTTAGGGGCAATGTCTCACACTCCAACCCATTATGAATGTATCTTCCTCACAGTTCACAGATATCTGACAGTGTTCTTTAAAGGCTACTTACTCACCTCCTGGGTGGACAGTATTTTAACCCCTGAATTTGCAGTTAAGTGCCTTGTGCCATGCACAAGACACTAGGCCAAGTGAGCCACAATCCCATTCCTGATGCAAAAAAACAGCAAACACAATGTGACCTGCTCAAAGTGAGTCAGAGAGCCTGCTGGGAGTCAGACCAGGACCGCTGACACCAAGTCTCATATGGAACCACTAGCCTAGACCACATTCTGTTGCCCCTCCCTTTCCTCTCCATCATTCTTTTGTTGCCAAGTTGCGTATTATTTACCGACTAAGACTGTTTTTCACTGGGAAATAAAAGGTAGCTCATCGGAAGTTTATCATCTCAGTTGAAAGGGTGGGGATGATTCAGAAATCACCAGGTGTCTACCCCAGGGGGCTGGGCCAGAGAAATGACCACCAGCCCAGGCTGAGTGTGTGGCATCAGGTACAGTCTGCTCTGAGGAAGAGGAGCCAGTGGTTGGGGGGCGTGTGCAGGCACTGTTTTGTGTACCCTTCCAAGGGGAATGAAAAAGGTTAGCCTGGAGTCCTCGGGAAATTATGTCTAGTGTCTGATATTATGAGAATTTTCCTGCCCAGCTCAATGAGGCCAACCCTGCTATCTGGTCCAGGGTTCTAGAGCCATCAGAATCTCTAGAAGAAGCAACTTTTATCAGATTCTTTAAGTCTGAGTAGATGAAACTAGGTATAGATAGATCTTAGGTGGAAAGGATCCTATAATCAACCAAATCACTGGGGATCCTGTTGAAAGATCAAAACTCTCGGTGATGCCAGCCAAAGCTCAGGCCCCTCTGGCATGATGCCTGTGATAACGGCACATGTACGCTTGCTTCTGAAGAGGACTTTCTTCCTTTCTTGCAGCAGTCCTCTGTACTACCTCAACTGTGCGTGGGGAACCAGTGGCCCACTGGTAGTCAGCCATTTTCCCTTGAATTAGGAAAAGAACTTTGAGGGCAAATCCTGAACTTTTATTTTCAAACAGTCTGGCTAACCAGAATTCCACAGAGATTGCCCTTGGCTTGGCTGCGATGCCAATGGCGTCCTCTGACTCATCTATGATTTGGTCCCGTTGGCCACATTTGTGCTCCAGTTGCAACGTCTGCATCTGTGTCGTGGTTGTCTGGACAAGCTGTCTCCCAGGTAAGGGAGAAAACTTGAAGGGACGTATGCCAGCTGGTCTGCTGTCGTCGTGAGGAGACAGTACCCAAAGACAGCAAGTTATCATGCCCGCTCTCCAGTCTATGGATGAGAGTCATCGTCGTCGTGAGGAGACAGTACCCAAAGACAGCAAGTTATCATGCCCGCTCTCCAGTCTATGGATCTGAGAGTCATCTGCTGAACCTTTAGTTCTAAGGGTTTGGGTAAGTTTTACTACAACAGAGTCTGACTCTATAGTAGAGTCAGATTGAATGGAACTTCT